CAAATATTATACCATATTTTGTCTCCAGTTTCTATTCTGATAGGTAAGGTTGTAAGCATGCATTCCTGTGATACTAGAAGCCTATGGCCGTGTATCAGACACCATATATCAGACCCAGTGAGTGCTCTTTTGTCCTCATGATTTACAAATGCCTTTGACTGGTATTCTATTTAAAAACCAGGCTCAGAACGAGCTTTGTATATTGTACTTACTGGGCAAATCTCCGTCTCCCTTCATTTCAAGGCTTTGGCTGCCAGCTGTAATTGTGCTGATTTTGATTGTGCTACTTAACAATGTGTTAGATGTTGACCTTTCAGTCCCTTATCAGCCAGGGACATTTCTGGCTCTTGTTGCTCCTCCAGTTAGCCCACCCCTGCTACAGCTGGGGCTCCTCTTAGCAGGCGTTTGTACCTGTTCCTGGGAATATCTGTCAGGTGTTTTTAGGTGTGTGTGTGTGTCTTGTCTGTGAGACTCATTTGTACTGTTGTGATAGCTAACTTATTTTCTGTATTCTACATGGAAATTATAAACTTTCTTTTGCTGTTCATAGGATACAGATTGCTTTTGTTTGGGGTGTAACTAGCAGTTCTGCTATTGGTCATCTAGCCCTTGTGTTTTAGAACATAGACCCTCTTCTCTGAAATATCTGGACAGTTTGTCTGTATGCTCTAGCCTTTGGAAACACCCCGTGTGGCTTTCCAAAGTGTGTGAGTTCCGGTGTCCCCAGACCCTTATAAATGCTGGGCATAGGTAGAGCTGCAGAACTCAGCTTTCTCTGAGGACCAGAGTGACACCATCAATGGGAAACTCCACACCATAGAACTTTGGTTCGTGCAGAAAAAGTGCACAAATGTCGAGTGAAATGTTGCAAAGATATTGTGTAAAAACGGTATGATACTTCCTCCAAGTTGTGTGGACGGGTACATAGGAGTCCTGTCTTTTGACTTGATCCCCATTCCTAGGATTTCTCATTTAATACCTGCATGAATAGTCTGGTAGCCGAACAGCACAAGATCCATAACACTTGGGTCTGAGCATTTTGGATAAGAACTACTCAGCTGGTGTACGCTTTCTTCTTTCAATGACTACTTCTCAAGGTTTATCTTATTTTTAAATAAGATTTATTTATCCTATCTTTAAATTATTTATTTATTTTTAAATCAGATTTATTTGTCTTATGTAGAAATGTGTGTACATGTGTGTGTCTTATGTGTGGGTCTGTGCACCTGAGTGTACTCTTGGAATCTAGAAAAGGACATCAGATGCCCTGGAGTTGGTTGCATGTAGCTGTGAGTCACTAGATGAGGATGCTTGGAACAGAACTTGGGTCCTTTGCAAGAATAGCATGGCCTTTTGACTGTCGAGCTATCTCATCAGAGAAGGTTGGTTTTCAATAGTGATGAAGAATTTCTCCCGAGCCCTCACTATGGCCTGTAAGGACTTGAACAAGCATTTCTAACAGTTCAATCATGTTCTCAAAATCTACCCCCACCCCACACCTTGAAGCACTTGCATGAGATAACACAGGCCGCTAAGAAGATGTCCTGCTTGATGCTGCCTTAACTGATGCTGGTTACAGCAGGCTTAGTCACAGCAGCTGACTGACTCTTAGGGACTTCTCACTTAACCCGATTGCCCTGCAGTCTACCATCTCCTCTCTTCTCCCACTTCTCTCCACCTTTCTCCCTTGTAATCAGATTTCTCCTTTGTAGGAAACGAACAAGAAGAGTTCACTTCCACTGACTGCTCTGGTTGCTGTAGTCCCGTCTCCCATTCAATAATAGGGACCGATGCGGGATTCCCCTCTGTATGCTGTGAATACCACTGGTGAATAAAGAAGCTGATTTGGACCAATAGAAAGGCAGAATTTAGCTAGGTGGGGAAAACTAAACTAAATACTGGGAGAAAGAAGGGCAGAGTAGAGAAAAGCCATGTAGCCCCGCCCGAGACAGATGCTAGGAACTTTACCCAGTAAGCCACAGCCACATGGCAATACACAGATTACTAGAAATGGGTTAAAGTAATATGTAAGAGTTAGCCAATAAGAAGCTAGAGCTAATGGGCCAAAGAATGTTTTAAATAATTAGTTTCGGTGTGGTTATTTCAGGGCTGAGCAGCCAGGAACCAACAAGCAGCCTCTCCCACAACAGGGGAAGTCTTTTTTTTTTTTTAAAAAAAAACAGAGTTTCATTGATCACATTTGTTTTATGAAATACCTGTTTAGTTTAACTTACCCATTTTTATTACGTATTAATTTATTAGGCTGGGCTGTCTGCTTAAGTGTTTTTATGTGTGCAACTGTTTTTTCTTCCTAATTCTCTGTATGGAGAACATATTTAAAGAGAACCAGATGCACTAGCTAGGACCAGATAGTTAAAGAATGAATGAAAGAATAGAAATTAAACATAAGGCAGATACAGAAAAAAAAAAGTTTAAGGAGAATTTAGAAAAGGTGGGATTAAGCATTGGGAGTGTCTAGAGGAAGTCTACTCCCTGGGAACAAGATGAAAGAAACATATAAGAAAAACAGAAATCACATAGAGAGTAGGCATATGGTTCAGCAATAGGATCAGGGTTATATGCCCAGTATTACCAAGGGGAAAAAGATTTAGTGGTTTAGAAGGAAAGATCAAATCATTATGATTATTGGAAGGCTTCTGCAATGGGGGAGCTTCATGGATGTCAATGAAAACTAGAATATGTGAAATTGTGGTTAGAGGGCCTACTGCCCACAACATAGTAAGGTTCACCTCGAAGCAGGATGCAAAGCAACCCTATTTTATCTGCTCTGCTTTAAGTCCTTTGGAAACCCTCAACGAGTCTCTGAAACGGTCTTTCACTGTGCAAGCCACAGTTGCTTCTGTGACTCCATTATGTTCCCAGTCTGATGAGACCCATTCCCATGCATCCACTGTAGTCATCCAGCGAATCTGGATCTCTCAGAGCTGTGGAGGCTTCTCTGGGCCTTGCCCTGCTGGGTGGAGAGCATCCTGCCTGAGGGGACTTGCCTTTCCTGAAGGAAAAGTGAAGTGTCCCAAGGGGAAGGAAGAAACACTCATAACTAGGGAAGTTGTCCACTCCCAGGGATGATGGGGGAGGGACAGCTAGGGAGTAGCCTTGAAAGCTTCAGAAGGGGACAGTCCCGAGCTACTAGGTCATCATGGCCACTGACTTCAAGGGCAGTGCAAGATTCAACCTGGCCTACCCCGAGTCTCTTGCAGAACTGTCTGAGTGTGCTGCAGAAGAGCCGGGCTGCAGGAGGCTTGACTGGAGAGACTAAATGGTCCCTTTCCTTTGCCCACCTGCTTCATCTCTACAGACAAGCAGAGACAAGATGTGGGCTAAGGAATGAGGCCTTTAAGATGCAGATGTGACCCTGTTCATCTCTCAAGGTTGGATGACAGAAGGAGGGTGACCCAGGTGCCTTCAGCATGTAGGATTTTCTTTGACAGGGATGCTCCACTCCTTCTGGAATACCCCAGACCCATTTCTGAGAGCTCACTGTGGCCACACCTCCTGCTGCTCAGCCCAGTGGTCATCTTCCAGGACGACAGGCAAAGTCTGTCCAGAGATGTCTGGACTGCGGGACTGGCCCATGGGAAGCACTGAATGCTTTGAACTTCTTGTTGTCAAAGTCAGAGATTCATGTTGTCAAAGCAATTACAATTGAAGCTCATGAGACCCTTGAACTTTTGGGAAGTAGATTTTAGAAATACCCAGTCACACAGTTCACTAAGCCATCCTCGTGCCTGTTGGGCTGGGTAAGTTTTCCTTTGTGCTGTTTGAACCCTATTTACAGACTTCATTCTATCTTATATTTTTCTACTCTAAGTGTATATAAGGAAACTATGTTCAGAACCTTTGGCCCTGCCTGGATTAGTCTAATTATCACTCAGTTGTTTCTTATTTTTCTACAATTTCTTGTGAGATATTTCTACAGGTCAGTAGCAGTGCCCTCCTTTGGAGGCTCAGGTGTCTGGAGGCAGGACCATTTTGTGAGGGAGATGGCACCCAGTAGGGCATCACATTAGGACTGGAGTGTGCTCAGTGTGTCCCCTACACAGTGTTAGTGAAAATAAGACATTGGGTACTATGCAAGGGAGTTCTTAAGCTGACCATAGGACAGCCACATCACACTCTACCAAGAAGGGCTTACACTGAGTGAGGATTAAGAACTGTGACTGAGAAAGATCTTGAGATATACATCATAATACTCTCTTCAGGAAGGGTGTGTATACGTGTGAGTGTGTATATGGGTGTTCGAGTATGTATGTGTGTACATGCATTCTAAATGTATTGGTACATTTGTGGTACACAGGGTTCCACAGCATGAATTATTCCTAGTTGGAACTTTATTAACCAGCAGTTTTGGAGACTGAGAACCCAACATCAAGGTGCCAGCCTATTTAGCAATTCTGATTCTGTGATGTACCCTTGAATGCCTTGTCTTTTGGAGTAGCATCTGCTTCGTCTTTTCACAGCAGAAAAGACAGGGAAAGAAGGCAATGATGGCATCAATTCTGCTTGTGAGGGCATAGCTTCAATGTCTGAGTCACCTCCTAAGGGTCTCACCCCTTAATACTCAGACAAAAATAAATAAGTGCAGCATGTGTTTGGGAGGCAGAAAGCACTGAAACCATAGCAGACACCTCAACTTTTTGTAAAGATGTTTAATTTGGTGTTATATACATTGGCCGGAAACTTAATTTTCACATACACACAAACAAAGGTTCAGATGAGAACATAGCAGAGGTTTGAGAAGGCACATTTTTTTTTTTCCTGATTGAGGGGACAGCAGGAGTCGGACTTATTTTCAATGAGGAGTTTGGCACTGTCACTGACAAATGCTCAGATTTTGACAGGAGCAGTGTAGGCATGTATTAGTTTTATAACCAAAAATAAATTTTGCTTAGACATTTCCATTTTGGGAAAAGTAAAAGAATTGAAAGTAGTATTTTAAGAAATTTATGTTACAAGCCAAGTAAGAGAATTGCATATCGGGTCTCTAATCTTGGTAGAGACAGTTACATGCTTTCGCTGGAAGGGCAGTCCAACAAGCATGTTTCCTACTTTTATCCACCTCACTCCAGACGGGGTGATTCTTCAGTTCCCTGGGAAAAATCGTAAACTGAATTGGAGTAGAAACAGGCCATATTCAAGTACCAAGGTCACAAGTCCTTTTTTTTTAAGATTTATTTATTTATTATATATACAACATATATGCCCACACGCTGGAAGAGGGCGCCAGATCTCATTACATACAGATGGTTGTGAGCCACCATATGGTTGCTGGGAATTGAACTCAGGACCTCTGGAAGAGCAGCCGGTGCTCTTAACCACTGAGCCATCTCTCCAGCCCCCAAGGTCACAAGTCTTAAAGGACTTAGATTATCATGGTCACCAAGAGATAATATGCATATTTTCTTATTTATTCATTCATCTGATTGTTTATTTATTTTGCATTCTGGCTGCAGCCTCCCCTCCCACCTCTCCTTCCACTCCCTCTCCCAATCCTCCTCCCTTCCACACACCTGTCCTTTGTATTCACTCAGAAAGGGCTGACCTCCCATGAATATCACAAAGCATGGCATATGAAGCTGCCATGAGACCAGGCACCTCTCCCTGTATTCAGGCTGGGCAAGGCAATCCAGCATGAGGAATATAATCCCAAGGGCCAACCAAAGCACCAGAGACAGTCCCTGCTCCCATTGCCAGTAGTTCTACAAATACATTGAGCTACAACTGTGTATATGCAAAGGGCCTAGTTCGGCACAATACAGGCACCCTGGTTGTTGATTTAGACTCTGTGAGTTCTTATGAGCCAGATTAACTGTTTCTCTGGGTCTCTTGCGATGTCCCTAACCCCCTGGCTCCTATAATCGATCCATCCTCCCTCTCCTCAGCAGGACTCCCATAGTTCAGTCCATTATTTGCCATGGGTCTCTGGATCTGCCTCCATCAGTTACTGGATGAAGGCTTTCTGATGACAAGTGAAGTAGTCATCAATCTGATCACAGGGGATGGCCAGTTCAGGCTAGGCATCCACTACTGCTAGGAGCCTTTGATGGGACCATCCTTGTAGGATCCTGGGCATTTCGCTTGCATCAGGCTTCTAACCTTTCCAGTCATCTCTTTCAGCAGCCTCTCCATCTACTCACCTCCCAACCCGATCCCTCCAGTTCCCATGCCCACCCACCCTAAATCCAACCAGGAGATAACTTTTTCCCTTTCACAGGGAGATCCATGCATTCCCCCTTAGGCCCCCCTTTTTTTACCCAACCTTTTTGGGTCTGTGAATTGTAGTATGGCTATTCTGTATCTTGTACTTAATATCCACTTACGAGTGAGTACATACCATGTTTGTTTTTTTGGGGGTCCTGGTAACCTTACTCAGGATGATTTTTTTCTAGTTTCGTCTATTTGCCTTCAAACTTCCTAATGTCATTTTTAAACAACTGAATAATACTCTATAGTGTAAGTGTACCACATTCTCTTTATCCATTCTTTGGAGGGGCATCTAGGTTGTTTCCAGGTTCTGGCTATTACAAATAAAGTTGCTATGAACATAATTGGGCAAGTTTCCTTGTGGTATTATTGAGCCTCCTTTGAGTGTATGACCAACACTGGTGTAGCTGGGTCTTGTGGTATATTGAGTCCCAGTTTTCTGAGGAACTACCCTATTGATTTTCAAAGTGGCTGTACAATTTTGCACTCCTACCAGCAATGAAGGAGTGTCCTTCTGCACAGCTTCTTCAGCATAATCTGTCATTTGATTTTTGATCTTAGTCATTCTGACAGGTGTAAGAAGGAATCTCAGAGTGATTTGCACTTCCCTGATAGCTAAGGATGACTAACATTTCTTTATGTGTTTAAATGAATATTTTTGGTGATCTGAGGACTACAAGGGAAAAAAAGGAACTGTATACATTTTGGATTAAGTTTTTCAGTTGACATATGAAATAATAGATTTTATTATGCCATTTTCGTAACTAAAAGGATAATGAAAACTGCATGTATTTGAAGAAGATGTTTTGTAATTTTTTGATTGTATAATTTTACTCATGCATATATTAATTCATTCATACATATTCAAATATATCAGTGTTATTTATTTATTTTTACAAAGTATTTGAACTTGATTTAAAAATCTATATACATTGACTCTTAACAGTTTACCAACAAAATAAAACTATATTAAAGTGTATTGATGTTTCACATGTATACGTGTGCATGTAGGATCACACATACAAACACACATGATAGAGGTCGTTAAGTACTGATTTATCCCTGTGCTTGAGTTTTTTAGTGTTAAATGACTTCTAGATATTAGCACAAAGTTCAAGCAAGGCCGTATTCTCTATTAGTCTTTGTTCTGTTGCTGTGAAGACATACCATGATCAAGGCAGCTCTTAAAAACAAAGACATTTAATTGGGAGCTTGCTTACAGTTTCTAAGGCCTAGTCCATTATCTTCATGGCGACATGCATGGCACTAGCAGTAGCTGGGAGCTTTGCATCCTGATCCTTAGGCATCAGAGGGAGAGAAACTGGGCCTGGTATGGGCTCTTGAAACCTCAAAGCCCATCCCCAGTGACAGCAACACGCATCCACCAACAAGGTCAGTCGCACCTCCTAATCCTACAAAGCATTCATGTATATAGGATTATATATGTGTGTACACACACACACACACACAAAAGCTAGATTTTAAGGAAAGTGTTGCCTTTTGTACATAGGTAACCGAATAAATTGGCAGTTTCTGTTTTCTCCTGCAACTGATTTCAGTTGTTTAGGAATGAAGACTGCAAACAAGCAGTCTCAAGAGATAGGTGCCCGAAGTCCTCAAGACTAGAGAGAGCTTCTCAGCATGGGACTTGGCAGCCACGGCTCTGCATCCCAGGACTTTCTCTGGGACATTCCATCACCCCCTTCTCCCCCAGAAAGGCATTTGCAGTTCTGAGCAGACACACGGTGTGATAAGCAGGGTTTACTTTGCGCTTCTCATCTAAAGCAGGAATGTTTTCCCTGGCCGGATGCCGTGGCTTACTTGATCCGCGTATCACACTGAACTTCACAGGGCACAAAATAAAACTTTTATGAAAGTGTCTATAGAACAGGAATGCTGAAAGCCCCGCTGATGTCTCACAGGTGCCAAACGTTAGCCTGCGTTCTTGCCAGTGCTGAAGGTGGGAATGGGGTGGGTAGTCAGCTTTCTGTCACGTGACAAAGCACCCACGATAATCGGCTTGGAAGGAGAAAGGTTTCTTTTGGCCCATAGTGGGTCTGAGTTGGACTGCCTTCTGGGGCTGGGTTGGATGGCCCCCCGTTGCTCTGGGGCTGTGTAGAGGCAGCATAGCATGGGCGCGACAGGGGAAGCAGCTGAGATTCGGATCAGCAAGCTCCAGGTTCAGTGAAGGACCCATCCCCAAAAACCAAAGCGGTCATGAATGAAGATGCGCAACATCAGTGCCTTGCCTCCACACAGGTCCCAGCAACTCTCAGCATTATGACAGACGGGGGAACCAAATCTTTATCACATGGATCTTTTGGGGGGAGGGGGGACAGTTGTTCAAACCACAGCCGACAGATTGTGCTTTTACATCCTCAGTTACCATGTGAAAAGCACCCCAGGAAGCCTCCAGGAATCAGCCTCCGTTCCTCAGTTTCTTTCTATTGTCGTCCCCGTCCCGCTTCCATAGCTCTGTTTGGTGCTCAGGGAGATGATGCTTAGCTACTGGACATAGTGTTTTATCTTACAGAGTACTAGTAGAGTTAAAAGAAGAAATTATTTCTCAAATACTTTTCATACCTCAATTGCTTCAAAGACACCGGGGACAATGGAAATGACATGGATGCTATACCATCTGGGCTTCACATTCTAATTTTCATATATTATTTTGAGTTCAACAAGAAAGAGAATGTCAAGGACACATACCTGTCACTTATGTGGGAGGGGGTGGTGGGAGCTGCCCTGAGGTTCTTTGTCTTGTAGGTGTATCTGTCACTCATATGATAGCTCTACCCTCATCTCCAAAGCCAGGATGGGCTCCATAGGACAAGGGTCATCCCTTTAGTATAAGGGAATTAAGTGGATTTCTTCAAGGGTGGAAGCTGAATAGAGCTGGGAACTAGAGAAGCCTGGGGCTCTAATTCTGTGTGGATACACTTAAGTGGACAAAGTGTGGTTGGCTAATGGGGAACTGACCTCAGTAAGAGCACACGGTTGTCGAAAGTTCACATTCCAGCCCAGAATTTTGCATCCTTCTTGTTATGGCTTACCTGTGTCAGATGGTTAGATCTTGATGTTTAAGTAGTCTGATTGATATCATGTAAGTCACCCAAAGAGAAGCATTAAGTATGAAGACTTGTCATTTTAAGGAGGGATTTGATATGTTCAGTTTCCTCTGGATTCACTCTGGTGCATTCTGTATCTCCCAGCCCCAGGCCTCAAGTGCATGAAGGGAGAATGCTCAGGGCAAGCCCAGCACACAAGGCAGCAGAACTGCCTGCTGGATTCCAGCAAGTTATTGCTTTGTCGGATTTTCCCAGCAGTATGATGCTCAGCACCTTTAGAACTGCATCAGTGGGTCTGTGACACACATTCTTTCCTCTTCTACAAAATGCACCACCCCCAGCATTCTACAGATTCTTCCTCCAAAGGTACTTTACTCTGCCTTCCTAACCTCTAAGGCTATGCTGGAAAATACTGTCTCAGACCCAGTACCCTCCTTCCTGATGGCTGCCAGAACTTCATCAGGGAAAAAGCCTCTGTAAAGAGATTCCCCCTTCCTGGTGCAGATGCTCAGGGGAAAGGGGGGCCCTTTGACAGTAAGCCCAGTGCAATGCAGAACACAGACCAGGAGCTAGAAGACATTGGCTGAAACAGGATGGAGGCTGCCCAGAGCTGGGAAATGTGCTTCGATGGGAAAGGTGAGGGGTAGAAAGGGAAGAGAGCTGACTCTCTTGCTATGTAATCCCAAACAATGCAAAAAACTAACACAATCTGCCCACTAAGATTATGGTAATCATGTTTTTCTAGACTATCAGCCCTGTACGAATCCTCATTTTGTGTCTGTGTACATATGTGTGTGTGTGTGTGTGTGTGTGAGAGAGAGAGAGAGAGAGAGAGAGAGAGAGAGAGAGAGAGAGAGTTTCTGCACTC